ATCCAATTTCACAAATATCATTTCATGCAGATAATATTCAGCTAAATGAATATCTCTGAGCGGTAGCTACAGCTAATATCAAATTCCCAAATGATGAACTTGATCTCTTTCTGAGCAATTTTCACTTCATATCTACTTCAGATTATTGTCTCCTATTATTGGCGATGAATCATAAGTAACGAATATTTGTTATCGGCATAAAATTGAGGTTAAATATGTAATATTCACAGATTTCACTACTAAATGTACCCACTAGATTAAAATGATGTACGTCAACTGCTCTAATTGAATGTTGATCGTTAAAAATGTATTCCTGTCATGGAATTTAAAGTGTCAACTATACAAGTTTCTCAGTTTCTACAGTGCATTTCTTCTTTTATTTTTTGAACGGGTCGACTCAAAAAATTGAAATTTGGGATAATGAAATTAATGCATGAATACTTTATTTTGAAGTGAAATCGACAGATGAAACTTTCAAGATGGCGACTGAGCGCCATCTAGGAAAAAATTGAAGGTAAAGGGGGGTCTTGTGACACATCATTCCAGTACTCACGCCAAATTTTGGTACTTAGTTACTGGCGCACGGTGGGGGAGACCGGTTTGAAAATCAGAATAAATTATGATTTGTTTCAGGAATCATTTTTATTGAAAAAAAAACTTTACTCACTTCACCGTGATTACTCAACATTTTGGAAAATCGCTTCCAAATAACATAAAACTGAGTGGGGTGTTAGCTGGTCACGTAGTCAAAAGGTACGCGGAGGGGGAGGCTACATAGCCTCCTATGTCGTAAATACTCTTTTAATGTATTTCTGACCGATCTGGGATACCGAGCGCGAGTAACGGAAGGTTAATATCGATATTTCTGGAAATATTCCTTTTCATCTGCCATATGGCAATTACAACAACCCGATAAGGTTTGTTAAGTTATTTTTTGTTTGCCGTTATTGGAGTGACACCAACCCTCACGTTTTCCGGGAAACACATATTCAATATCCAGAGAAAATTAACGTTTGGGCAAGAATATTGGAAAACCATATTGTAGGNAAAGTGTAAAATTCTACTGTAAAATTCTGTGAAGAGTGTAATATCTCGATATAAATTTATATCGCAAATTTACCCTATAAAGTTTTATTCCAACACAAAAGTACACTCAAAATGAAAAATTACACTGAAAAATTCCACACTTGTCATCGGGGTAGAATTACAAAATAATATTCCACGTTTTTTCCATATCCGAAGTGTTATGGAGCACCAAGAAATTTTCAAAATGAAATCGTAAAGATGTAATTATCAATATTTTATCATTTTTTTATTCATACTTCAATATGAATGAAACAATAAAACAGCTCGGTTCGATACAAATCAAAGCTATCTTGGGTGGCCATAAATGACTTATTATCTCCTGAAACAAAATACTGACAAAGTTCCATATTCCACCTATAATTAGCACAGCTGGATACACCACTGCTCCTCCCAGAAGTCCGCTTGGCCCACTACACCAGGTAACCCAGCAATTGTATCTAACACCTACATATTCATTTACATACAGTGAATAGCATTCTAATCAGATTGAAAATGATTCAAATCTCACCTCAGAGAGTATCTCCACTGTCGGTCGGGGCACTACCCACAATTAATTTTTGACACTCGATATCCGGTTTATTTAATGAAATGAAAGATGAGTTACAAAATAAGGAGCATTGAAGCATTGCTTTGAGAACGATGTGGTGTTGTAATGTTATTGATGAGTTTTGAGCATGGTCGAAGGCTGTGAAATAGTAGGATTTATGTATGTTGAAATGCAACCAGGAATATTTTTCTTAGACTGATAACCAGAAATTAATAAAAAGTTGGGTTCGTATGTGATCTACTTCAAACTGTAATATCTCAGTGAATATTTATCTGCTAATAATTTATTATGTTTCAACTTCAAAAAGGCGAATACTGAGCTCATGTACCATCTGTTTGCTAATGTTGACTGGATCCTAATTTTGCGGTGAGTTTCTTCTACAGTAAAATTAATGAAATTTTCAATATTTATATTCCCAAATGTAAGAAAAATAAAAAGTACCCCCTATGGCTCAACAGACAGATAATAAAATATATCACAGTAAAAAACAAACTAAGGTTAAAATGTAGACAAAACAGTAGTTATAAATTAGCACAGAAATTTCGCGATTTGAGAAGGAAATTGAAAAATCAATTCAGCTCACACATTATATCTAAGCAAGATTCAGCAGAAAATTAGTAGTAATTCTAGATCATTCTGGCAGTATGTAAACAGTAGAAAAGCAGGTAAAATGTACTTTTGTAGTCGGAAACTACTAAATTCACAATTCGTTCTACAAAAAAGGGCTGTCTGATACATATGTAGGGCAAGACCTCTACAAACCACTTTTCATCAGTCATAAAATTCTTACTGTACCTTGTTTATTCCTTTTAGAAACCGTATGCTTAATTCACAAAAAATATTCCAACTCAGCAGTAAATAATGACAGATGTTACCGCACGAGAAGAAGTCGGAATTTACCCAATCCCAAAATCAGCAATTACAAAATNTAGGAGCTCCAATAGCTGACACGATGGGGCGCATTGATTTTCCTGGTTTATGGATTTTTGGGAGGCAATATAGTTTCGACACCGTTGGGTTGGAAACTTGTAACTTCCGTTTCAGTTGAGGGGTAAGTATGTTGTCGCATTTCTTTAGGACGTCTTTTACTTCTGCAATCATCTTTGGTAACGGGTTTCTGGACAATTTCGCATCTACAATTTCGCATTGGTAATGAGAGTATTGACCCTTTCGTAGTAGTCCGATTTATCCAGAATTACTACTTTGTTACCTTTGTCGGATTTCAAGTAAAAAACGTTCTTGTCTTTCAATCGTTTGATAAGTTTCTTTTGGTTTTTCTCGTTGTTTATTGAATGCTTTCTTTGTTTATCTGTTATCATGTTCTTAGAGATTTGATTTCTGACCTTTTCTCGAACTAGTCCCTTCGAGGAATCGGGCATATATTGAATCGAACTTTCAACACTAGCAACGATATCCTGTTGGGAAAACACTCCAGTAATATTCATTATCTGTAATGGTTTATATATTGTTTTATTTATGTGTATTCGTATATATACATTTTTAAACCTATAATGATTGTTCACTGTATATCATAATTTAAATATTTTTTTACAAAACTGTAACATTGTTGACTTCATAAAGTTCCACTAGCTTTGTCAATAAGGATTTCTTGGACAATAAAACGTGATTGATTGATTGATATCCTTGTGTCTGATTCTCAATATAGTTCATGTAATCAATATTGGAAATTTTTAAAATACATTATTACTGGCTATTTTCCTAAAGGGTTGTATTGTGCTAAGTAAATACAAACTATTCCTGTTATCTTTTTATGTCCTATGTTGTAACATATACATTCAGTATCTACTTGAAATTGTATATTATTTTATAGTTTATAGTTTTATATGACTAAGTAGCGATAGCTAACATGTGTTATTTTATTTGTTTGTTTTTTTTATTTGATTATTTTAACCAAGCTTTGTCAATAAGATATGAATCTTCAGACAATAAAGCATATTTTGACTTTGATTTGACTTTGATAATATTGAATTTTCCAATGGTATTGATATTTCTAATGCCTTTGCAAAACACTTCAGTTTAGTTTATACAAATGACTGTGTTGATGGTTCAGCATTTTTCGATAATACCAGTCTTGAATTGGCTGTCCTTGTTCATCTTTCACTGCCTGAACTGTGCATGCTCTTTTTAGCGAGTGCATTGGTTTGGGATGTGGGGGTTGAGCAAACCGGCCATCGGATGCCTGCTTCCACGAATGTCCTGCTGGATACGGGAATGACAGAATCACTTGTGGTTCTTAGCAAAGTTACCCAATTTATAGCTGAAAACTTGGATAGTCGTGCTCAAGTTGACATTATATACACCGACTTTGCTTTTGATAAAGCAAAGCTTTTGATAAAGTCTCACTTCCAATTCTTCTAAGAACCCTTGAATATGATTTTGGTTTTCATCCCAACCTGATAAAATTTTTCAGTTCATATCTATCTAATCGAAAACAAAGTGTGCTAACTGGAAGGGCATAGTCCAGTCCATTTATTGCATCGTATGAAGTTTCCCAGGGTTCCAACTTGGGTTCTTTGTTATTCATTTTATTTATCAACAGTCTTGTAAAAAATATCATAGCATCTTGCTACTTGTTGTTTGCAGATGCCTTGAAAATTTTTAGTAGAATATCAACAGTTGAAAACTGTGTACATCTACAAAACGATATAAATAACAGCGTTCAATGGTCAAAACAGAGCAAATTGTTATTCAAAGTTCAAAAGTGTAATACTATGACCTTCTCCCGAAAAAAAGTCAGTATATCATACAGCTACGAGATGGACGGTATAAAACTCAACAGAACTCGAGACCTTGGTATTACTTTTGATTATAAATTATCATTCAGATCTTATATACTGAACATAACAAAAAAGGCCTCAAAGATGTCTGTGTTTGTAGTTCGCAACTCTAGGCAATTCAACAATATTACCTGCATCAAACATTTGTATATCACTCTTTTTAAAAGCATTTTGGAATATGCTTCCATTATCTGGTGTCAATGATTTGTGAAGCGTGCGGACGGGCGTTGTCGTGGATCAGGATCGGACCTCTTCTGTTGACCAGCCGGCTGCTGCTGACGAAATAATCGGTACATTTCGTACAATAGGACTCTGCTGTGGTGATTTGGCCCGGTTGTAGAAAGTTACGTGTCCTGTTGTCGTAGAGGATCCACTCACACGCGACGATCCCATCCAAAAAAGAATCGTTCTGGTTGCGCAAAAGCAAAGGAGAACAGATCTCAAAACGTAACAATTTTTGCCGATCGTTCAAATCGTGGGGCACCCAGTTTTCGAGCTTTTTGACATTTCCAATGTGCTTTAAACCATCAAAAACCGCTGGAAGGAATTCTACAGAAAGTAATACTTACATTCTCCTCTTGAAGATATGATTATCCTGGGACATGATCCATCTGCAAACGGTGGTTGAGAATCATGCGTACAGACACAGGTGTGGGTGTTGTTCGGCAACGGTTTACAAGCTAAGGAATCGCCGATACAGGATTGCGTAGTACAAAATCCCGGGCTACTATGAGCCACTCTTTCACCTGAAATTAATGAAAAATATTTAAACGAGTGTAAAAATACAGTGTGTAGAAAACGACAAAAACTGTTTCACTGAGCAGAAAGATAGTTTTACTTCAGCTTGTCGATAAAAAAATAACAATTCTCATAGCAAGATCCATTAAAACGTCTACAAGAGAAGTATTTTCAATTTTTCGGGGTATTTCATAAATAAACGATTTCATGGCACTTTTTCATTTAGAATTCCTATTTAGGGTGACCAACTTTTTTGATTTTGGACAAAGTTTCACAGAAGTATAGTTGCAATTTCTAGTACGGACACAAAAGACGTATAACTCATGCTACAAATATGGGCGACTAGAGTTGGGAACACATTAATGAGATACGTAGCAAACAGAGCAGATCTTCAGTTCTAATAACTCTTACAGCGAAGGAAATCAATAACTATTATTGCACTATAGCTGAAAATAGTTCTGTTAATATTTCACCACAAGAAGATTCCTTCATCTTGCTGGAAATAAATCTGTTTGAGAATCTTTTTTTCTGCCACCCACAAATCCAGATGAAATTGTTGACATCCTGGATAATATAATGAACAAAAACACATCAGGTTGGGATAATATATCAGCAAAGGTCCTATCTACCATCTACCAGAGAATCCCCAGCAACCTTACCTGAAGTAATCAACTACCCATACTTGAGTGAAATATTTTCTGAGTGTTTTGGAGACAGTAACTATAAATCCACTCTCCAAACAGGAAACTGTGATTTGGTAACAAACGTAAGACCTATTTCACTATTGCCAACTCTTGCGAAACTTGTAGAAAAGCTTGTTGAGAAGAGAATTTCTTAGTAAAATCACCTCTCAGCAATTGTCAATTTGGATTGCAGACATTACTGTAGAAAATATATCTCAAAATAGATGGGGGTGAGGAAGAAGCAACAGTGTTTTGTGACATCGCAAAGGCGTTTGACAGTGCTGATTCGGTTATTTATTTTGCGTGAATTAGAAAAATTCTGGTTTCAGGAATGATGCTGTGAAATGGTTTCGTTTATACTTGTCAGATCGAACCCCGTAGTCTTCGTTATAAACGATACCTCCAATTACGAGTCAATAACTTCTGGGGTTCCACACGATATTGTTGCCGGCCCATTGTTGTTCCTGATGTACATAAATGACTTGGCTCCCATTGAAATCAAAGGAAATCAGCAAACATAGTAATGTTTGCTGATGACAACACAAAAGTAAATGGCATTCAAAGAACAATTATGATATCAGTGATAATATTGAGGGGCGATTCATATAAAGTCAAAAAGTGTAACGCAAACAGGCTATCTGTCAATACCACAAAGACTTGTCTTCCAACTTCAGGTGAGTTTCAAATGGAATTAGGACATTTGACAATCAGCTCGGATCCAGCAACTAAATTTTTGTTAATGATAATATATCGTTCGATAATGATATTTCAAATGTTAATAGGGAACTCTCGTCGGGATGCATTGCTATGAGAGTGGTTTCAAAGAAATTGACTATATCCACACATAATTGATCTAAGTGTGCGTTTCAAAGTCTACATGAAAAAACTTAAAAGCCCTGTGTTAGCAAAACATTAAGTGTGCTACATTTTTGAAAAGGTGATTTTTAAGATCTATCTTTGTATCTGTAGAATAGGGTCACTGGGTCCTAAAATTCTTACTCCAGCCGCTTCCTTGGCTAAAGAGTCGGCAATGTGATTACCTTTACTCCTGTTGTGTCTTTTAAGCCACCTCAGGATAACGGGCGTGTTCAATGATATTTGGTTTATAGTTCACTTGATAGAAATTTCAAATTGAAAAACAGTGCACTTTGTTTCATCTCTCTAAGTACCGTAGTTTTCTCATAATCAATTATTAAAAATCGAATGTGGTAGGGTGGCGACGCCACGCCCCTATTCCTGCTTCTTGTTCGATTGACCAATAAGAACAATAAAAATAATCAACATTGCCAAATCGTAATATTTACGAAGCCTATCATTAGCAATTTAATTTTGGAAGTGTATATGAACCCGTTGACGTTTCAATTAATGAAAAGTTCTCCATATGGAATAAAATGTACACGAAAAATCATGTTAATTTATTCTACAATCCTCAATATGTACAACTGCAATTTATTATAAAAAAACGATTCCTACATACATACCTCTTTCTGATATAGCTACTAAATTCAAGCGTTATAGGCTCGCTTGGGTAATCTGTTGAATCTTCCTAAACTTGAGAGGAAGGTTGAATGAGGTCAAGTATAGACAGAATTGATTGTACTCGGAACTGATCCAACAAAAGCTTCTGAGGTAATAATACCATTAATCATATGATAACATCTAATTGATTTTGTTTCATACTGTCAGTAACAGGATTAACTTTAGATAATAGTTTCTGTGGAGTATACTTGTCATCTGTCATCAAATTCAATATTTTCTTTCACCTTTCACTTATAATCACTTTTTAAAAGCCATTAAGAGAGTCATAGTTACGACCGCACCGGGGGCCTGGGGGGCCGGTTAGGCCCCCCAGACGCACCCTGGCGTTGGATGCGATCGGGTGTGGAGGGGTGGATTTTCGGGAAATCCTTGCGGGTACCGCCCCTCACCCCACACCAACAGGATTTCGCAGGGCTTCCTCCCGCTCACCAAACCCGGAGTTGCTTCCTTACATCTACTTAGTGTGGCTAACCAAGAGACAGGACCATC